CCAAAACAAGAGGGCATAGGTTTAAGGTCAGAGGAGAAAGATTTCAAGGGGATCTAAGGAGCAACATTTTCACACAGAGGGTGGTGTGTGTATGGAATGGGCTGCCAGAGAAAGTGGTGGAGTCTGGTACAATTACAACATTTAAAAGGCATCTGGATGGGTAGATGAATAGGAAGGGTTTAGAGGGATATGGGCCAAATGCTGGCCAATGGGACTAGATTAATTTAGGATATCTGGTTGGCATGGATGAGTTGGACCAAAAAGGTCTGTTTCCACGCTGTACAGCTATATGACTCTATTTCCCTTCGATTGCTATCGGTTTCCTGCCCATTCATTTCATTGACTCTCTCTTCCTTTGTGTCTCCTCTGTTTCTTCATTACCTTTGCTTTTTCTTTCTGTGGGAATGGTACAACCAATCCCAACAGCAATTAGAAGTAACCCACGGCTGATATCTCGAAGTTACCCAACTTTACTTTGATTTCACCTTAAATAGCAGATTCCAAGCTGGAGCTGAAGCTTGGAATATCAAGGAAGCAGATGTTTTGGGGGAGGTTTAAGCTGGTCCCTTGTGTAGTCATACAGAACATCTGTGTTGTTCTTCAGGGCAGCTAGACTTCCTGCATACTGCTCTTTTTGTCATTTTAATGAAGGTGGGGACAGAGGGGTGGAGAAGATATTCTACCAGGTTTTTCATGATCTCCTTTCATAGGATTCTCCCAAAAGCTTTTGGTGATATCAGTGATGGAGTTCCATGATGAGGGCAATCTCAGCCTTCATGAAGTTTGGGAAGTGAGCAGGAAGCAGGAAGAAATATTGAACTTTGTAAGGCCTTCCAATAGCTGTTGTTAACTTTAGAAATTTGTAAGAGTTTGAAAAACCACTTTAAAAACCTGTATAGTAACATCACATTTGAACAGAGTTGGCCAAAAGAAAAGAAAGTTGTATGCATTGGTACAAAGGTAAGATGGACTGTAATGTCTATATGCAAGGGGTAATTTACTGACTCAAATCGATATGCTTTCTGTTAGAGGTATTGGATGTTTAAGACAATATTGATGAATATTCAGGGGTTAAGGATGCTAGAGAAGAAGTAAGGAAGAGTAAGTGAGGTGCATCATTGCAACTTTTTGGGAGCACTGATGAAATAGAAGAACCCAAGGATTAATACATTTGGTAAATTCATCCACTGTCTGATCTTTGGGATGATTCTGTTTCTGGAGGGAAAAGAAATTCAATTTAAGCCGCATACAGGTTTCTTTTTGAGATAATTGTGATCTAGCTGTTTGAATCATTGAAACAAAGCAATAGGTTAGTGTTCACAAATGAAGAAAGCCTATTCTCATCTTTTGTCTAGTCTAATACAATCTTGGTGAACAAAAGCTCTTTCTTCTGAAGCATTTGATTTAACCCTGAAGGTGCTTTATAATATTGAATACTAATTTGGACTAAAATGTAATGTATTAATTGCTAGATTCACAAACTCCATTCTTGACCATTCAATCATATATTTAATTCTGGGATGAACATAAACTCTGTTCTCATACTCATATATGATAATGCTAAATGTTTCTTTATGACAGTGTACGTGCACTTAAAATGAAATCAGGCATTTCTAAATAACAGAGAAGAAACATTATCTACACTATAATGGGCAGAAAACTCTTGAAGGGTCTTGGTCCTTGCAAATGGTGCTTTTCATTACTTACGGAATCAGTAACATTTAATTATGAGATTTGTTAGATTGTCTGAAAGTGAAGAAGATCATTTTATGTGAGTGCACAATATATGACTCAAAAACATTGCTGTTCATCCAAAACAGCCATAATGCTGTAACAAATGCAGTGTATCCAAAGGATGCAAGCAACTTATGTCAATATCTTAGGAGCCAAGCAATAAACATCTTTGAGCATGAATAATGGTGAAGTCTGAATGTAGATGCTGAATTTTTAAACATTTGTCAGTTTAAATCAAAATGTACCAATGCAGACTGTGATGATGCTGTGGCTTTAAGAGGTTATGTTGTCCTTTTTTTTTGCAGAGAGATTTTGCAGAGAGGAGATGAGCAGACCACTAGCGTAAACAACTTGTGAAGCCTTGTGAGTTGTTTTTAAGTTGGAACAATAGAAACTGCCTAAGTGGGTGTGGTCAAGCTCTCTCAGAACCAGGTTTCTTAGTTTAGCATTCAGCAATTGCTGTTGGGGTCTGGAAGAAGTGCAAGCTATTTTTCCTTTTCTCGGTCACAGCCAAGGGCCGGGGATTCTCTGTCTGCTATGGGAGTTGCATGTAGGACAATCTGTTACGTTTTCCAGTTGAGCTAAGTTATTCCAATTCCTTCTATTTTTTAATATTTTAACCAAAGTGGATGAATAAAGTGTGCTTTGCTTTGAATCCGGTAGTGTGACCGATTGAATTGCATCTGGAACGCAACACCTTACGTTTACTTTTAAAATAAGAAAAAGTTAGGGTCTAGACTATCTTCTGAATATTTTGAGGGGGTTTGGTCTGGCCCATAGCAATGCATAAATACATGCACCTGCACACCACAGACAAATTCACACACGTCTTCCAATGCCTATAAAATCCCTCTTCAACTTCTCATTTTGAACATCTGAAGAGATAACCTGAGTTTTTAAAAATTATTTTAGAGTGATAAAATACACAATTCTAGAGTAGTACAGAGTACAATGAAGATGTTCAGTGTATCAACTTTGTGTCTGCTCTTTCAAACAGCGACCCAGTTAGTCATACTTCCCAACACTTTACCTGTATCCCAGCACGTTTTTCTCCTTAATGTATTTCATCAATTTCCTTCTGAAGATGACTATTGAATCTGTATCGACTCCAGTAACTCACTTTCCGATTCCCCAACAATAATTTAACATCTATAGTGCACAAGTCAGGAATGTGATCAAATACTCCTTTTGCCTGCAGCTCCAAAAACACACAGAAATGTTGACACCATCTAGGAAAAGCAGTCCATGAAATTGGCACCACATTCACAAATACTCACTCCCTCCATCATCAACGCTCAGTAGCAGCAGTGTATACTATCTTCAAGATGCACTGCGGAAATTCACAAAAACTCCTTAGACAGCACCTTCCAAACCCACAACGATGACCATCTAGAAGGACAAGGGCAGCAGATACACAAGAACAGCATCAGCTACACGTGTCCCTCCAAGCCACTCATCATTCTGACTTGGAAATATATCACTATTCCTTCAGAGTTGCTGCATTTTGGGCATATCTACATCAAAAAGAGTCAGCAGTTCAAAAGGTAGCTCACCAACATCATCCCAAGGGCAACTCGGGACAGGCAATAAATTATGGCTGAGCCAGTGAGACCCATGTCCCATTATAATAAAAATATAACTACTTGACAGTTCAAATTGTGCCTCTGTGCAATTGATATCAAATGATAACTGATTGATTGCAATTGGGCACAAATTTGATTAAGTGATACACAAATAATGTCAAAGATTTCTGGTAAGCTTAGCACTCAAACCTTCCCTTTACATATCTTGATAGTTGTGTCCATTGACTTTTTTCCATGGATTCCCTCAATATTTCCAATAGTGGTTTGAGCTACCACTAACCGAAGCAAAGTATGCTTCAAGGCATAACACTTTTATTCTGCAATTGGGTGAAATATGTAGAACAACAATCATCCTTAACATATCTTACTTCAATTGGTATGACTCACATTTGGTTAATGATGCAAAATTCAAAAAGAATCCACAGTGCAATCCATTGTAAGTGGTCTTACTATTCTGCATTCTGTTCTGTAGTCTCCGAAATACAGCCACTCTCACTTTGCAGTCTCTTACTGCTCGACTTCCTGTGCAGCCTTGTTTCCCAAAAGCAGTCTGAAATCATAATGTCTTTGTTCTTATTTTGAAAACAAAAACCCTTTCTCAAAGGATTTTCCCAACACGGTGATGAGAAGTATCTTTCTGAAAACACAGACAAGCTAATGAATCAACTATTGTTCAACCTCTGGGAGAACAATTCTTCCTGTGTAGCATATTCACTACCATTCATCTGACTTCTGCTTTTCTTTTTAAAGATTGGCAGGGACACACACTATTTTTGAAACCCCCAGTGTTAAAAATAAATCAATTTCTAAATCCATTGTTTGGAAAGAAAAAAATCGTCAAATAGAACTCAGGTACACGTCAAGCTGGAGTGTCCAACTAGTGGATGCCTTTTGTCCCCTAGCCACACTCTCAGCTACCACATTCCCAACGTAAACCAACAAAGAAGCAAAGTGCCACTCCAATATTCCTGGTAAGCCACTACAGTGAGGATTCCTGTTTTAAGCAAAATCTCTCTGACCCTATAATTGGGGATCAGTCCAACATTAGGCAGACAAACAGCTAAGGTCCTTACCACAGGATGTGGGCATCACTGGCTAGGCCATCCCTAACTGCCCATAGGGCAGTCAAAAGTCAACCACATTGCTGTGGGTCCAGAGTCACATTCAGACCAAATAAGGTTAGGAAGTTTCCTTCCCTGAAGGATATTAGTCAGGAATCAGATTGCCAATTGTTGGAAAAACCAAACTTTTCATGTTCTAATTCCAGATTTGTTTTTTTATTTGAATTCAAATTCCACCATTCACATTCCACTGTGGAGGGATTTGAATCTGGGTCCCCAGAACATTACCCAGGTCTCTGAATGAACAATCAAGCAATAATACCACTAAGCCATCACCTCCCTTCTTGTGTTGGAAAGAGCTCAAGACATTTCAGCCTTAATGTTTTTTCAGCAGATGATAATCTCACATGCAATCAATTGTCCTTTTGGTTCAAAATTCTTTGTTAAGAGAGCAAGTTGTGCAATTAACACAAGTGGCGATGTTCTCATTGGATTCAGTCCTTTTTTAAGACAAATTGTTGCTCAGCCACAAATGTAACCTGCATACCATGCTCCTTTGCTACAGCAATGTAAAATCAACGTGTATTTTGAAATACAACAATGGTAAAATCTGTCTACTTACATTCAAATCCATCACTGAGCAGCTGGCATTCTGCATTTAGAGGACAGGGGTTAAGCTGGCACCACTTGACTTGGTTGCAAGTTTTTCCTGAAGTATTTGGAGGACACTTGCATATAAAATCATCCCAGTTGGAGGAGCAGGTTCCACCATTCAGACACGGGTTTAACTAGATAAATTTATAAAAGAAATTGAGCCTAAGTATTATAGAATGGAAAACAATAGAATCATAAACATTTCATGTTTTTCATGATACATGTAGGGTCCAATGTGTAAGTGGATGGGGTTTGCACTGTGTTGAAATCTTGCTCCAGTGTTTATCTTTGCATAGCATTACTTTTGTACTTCAGGGAACTGATGCCACCATAAGGAACAGGGAAGTCACAGAAAGCACTAAGCATAATTTGTATTTAATGTTTATATTAGTTTTTGGTATTAATTAATTAATGTGTCTTGTAAACTGATTATACAATTAGCCATGGATAACTCCATGTCCCATTGATAGAATGAACGATAACTTATAGTCAGCCTGGTTGTAAAATGTACATTGTATCCAACATCATATATCTTCTATTTGGTATACAGAGATAGCCTAAGGTGAGCAAAATAATAACTATAGGAGCAAAGGTCTACAATTAATTGCGTACCCATTTTGAAAGCTAACAACAGAAGTGACTGCCACTCATCCATAATTAAGCATTTCTCACTTCACATTCACCGTATCAGCAAGTACACCCTTCTGCATATACTTTATTTTACAGTTATGGAGAACTCAGCCACACGTATTTACTAGAACTCAGTCAGTGCTAACTTGCTGCTACAACAAAGGCAGCAACTCCCACGATCATGCTGTTATTTCTTCATAATAACACAGAGCTTATCATGTTGAAACTTGCAAAATTGCCCCTTATTTCATTGGGAATGGGACACTCAGGAATGCCTCAGCAATTTCACTTCAGCAAACCCACAATGCAACAAAAAATGGATGCTGCAAAGATATTCGAGTGGAGTTATTCTCAACATTATTTGAAATATTTTCACCATTGTTTCTCCCCTCCCCTCTTTTCCTGAAGTTTTCTGCCCTAGTTGATCTGTACAGAAGTGGAGATTTACATGTCAATGGTGTCTTTAAAAGATATCCCACCGTTAAATTGCCCTTTCAAACTGCTAAAAACAGGTTTAAAAGTGCATAAAAAGTACATAAACACACTCCTGTCAAGCTCATGTGAACTGTCAATGGACCTGTCAAAACTGTAAAAAACGCCTGTCAAAAGCAAGTTGTTAACTCTTTGTGGAGGAGAGTTCCAAAGACTAATAACCCACAGAGAAAAGAAATCCTCTTCTGTTCAATTTTAAATGGGAAACTACTTCTTTTTAAACTGTGTCCCCAGTTCCAGTTTTCCCTACAAGAGGAAACATCCTTGTGGCATCTATCCTGTCAAGACCTCTGTACACAATTTAAGTTTTGGGAAGACTGCATCTCATTCATCATACGTCCAATGATGATAGATCTAACCTGTTTAACCTTTCTTCCAAGGTAACCATATTTCTCATCTTGAGAATGAGAGAGATCAGGAGTTGCTGCACATTATTTTGGCGGATGGGGCAAAGTGGGTGAGGAGTTGGCTGTGGCGGAGGGCTGGCTGCAGAATACACCATTTTGGATCCTCCAACAACACTGATAATGGGCCACGGAGGTACCAAGGATGGAACATCCACCATTAAGTACCATCTTCCAGTGAAACTGGAGCCAGATGTCCAGCTAATTTGCTGAGCTGAGGATGATATTTAGAACTTGGAGATGGTAATGGGATGGGGAGTAACAAAGAAATTTAATTTAGAAAATATATAGTGTGGCACAGTGGCTCAGTGGTTATCACTGCTGCCTCACAGTGCCAGGGACCCTTGTTTGATTCCAACCTCAGGCGACTGTCTATGTGGAGTTTAAATGGAGGGATATGGACCAAGGACAGGCAGAAGGGATTAGATTAATTTGGCATCATGTTCGGCACAGTATCTTGGGCCGAAGGGGCTGTTCCTGTGCTGTACTGTTCTATGTTATATGTTCTGTGGTTGTCTTACAATGAATTTAAAATAAAGTCTCCTTCAAAAATCCCTATACCTCCCTTGTATTATTACAGTGAGAATAGCTTTGTTTGGAAGGCAGTTATTTAATATTTGTTTCAAATTATGATATCATAGCAGATGAGAGCACCTTTAGAGGGAATCTTTAGACTTAATGATGAAGAAATTGAAACTCTGAAAGACATTCCAGGAGATAAGTGTGTCAAACATTCTGGGTCAGAACACAATCAATCAGTGCTTTTAAATGTATATTTCCGATTTAAGTGAAATTCTGATTCATGATATGTAGGTATTAAGCTCAGTTTCGAGAAAATGAATGATATAACTGAGAAAACAATTCTCTACTTATAATCCACTTCTCACCTTTATTTTACTGAGTGATTCTCTGGTAACTTTTGGAGAGCGGAAAGGTCTGTGTATATTAAAGGGTTAATTGTATCTTCACCCTAAGAATAGCTACTAAGTAAACGCAAAGGCAGCTAAGTCACAATGATTTCACTCTACAAGGGAGTGGAGCCAGTGACTGTAAGACTGCAGAAATATATCCTCTTTTACCATGCCTTGTAGATTATACTAATCAAGCTTTTTAAAGTTCACATAAGGGTTCGGTGTCTGAATCTGAATGATGAACTCTATAAGTGCCATCTTAATGACAACTACTGTTTTGCATGTGAGGTTATGACCTTCTGCTGATTTTCATTAAATCTGTTGTTCTCATACTGAGCAACCACAGGATTGCATAAAGGGTTCAGTTAATGAAGATGTGTGTTGAAAACCATATACTCTACCTTACACGCATTGTCATCAGTGCAGCCACTTGTGACATTTACAAGTGTTCTGTTAGTGTAGGAATCCTCAGAGACACCCACGGGATAAAACTCCAGTCTTCTGTTGTTCATTTTTAAGTCCTGGATGCATCCTTTAAAGTTTCTTCCATCTTGAGCTGGTTCCGACTGATCTGGCAGGCCTCCGACAAACAGTGCATCTCCAGCTTGAACTCGAATTGGACGAATAGGAGTGTGACCGACCACCTGTCCATCCTGAACAAGTTCCAAAATGTGTTTCTTTATCTTCACCGTTATTAAGTGAAAAGGACTGTCAGTAGTGAAACGACCACCTATGAGGGGTTTGGACAAGTGAGTTTGGACAACAATTTTGCCAGTGTCCAACCCTACCTGGAGATAGGGAGTATGTCTATGTTTCAAGACAAGCAACAAACCATTTGGTTTCTGTGTGCGAATGAACATTGATATTTCCACCTCTTCACCTGGATTGTCATCAATAATAAACAAAGCATAGCCTTTAGAATCTTCATGGCCAAATCTGCCCGGTATTAATTCTGATAAGAGGCAAAGAAATTAGATTACAAGCCCTGTAAAAAATGCGTCCATTCATAATGTAGTAAGAGAAAATATTAAACGATCCTAACACATTGAATAGAATGTTACCTCCTCATGTATCATTAATAATTCTCTGACCATTGTCATTGACTTTGCATAAATGAACCTTCAAGTTATTTTTTAAAAGCGTTCAATGATTCCCACAAAATGGAAGTGATGGTTTTGAAAGCCTATGAAGATGATTTTAACTATTACCACACGATTTGTTGACCCAGTATTTCTGTCAAGGCAATTGGTCAAATATTGGATGGATTGTGAATTTCCTGAAAACAGCTACTGCTCTACCTTCTTGACTACACTGAAAGTGTGGTAGAACATTTGGTAAGAATTTAGCTGGGAGAGAGTATATGGCAGCTGCAAGGGATATCGAAAGTGACAATGACATCCAGTTGAGCCCTAGGTGTTTTTAATTCGTGGGCCTCATTTTCGGACTGACAGATGGATGACAGATTGTAATGTGCAGACAAAAAACAGCAGGCCAGTTGTACACAACTCAAAGTGGTGGTTATGGGTAAAGGCAGCATTACAGTAAATACTGTTGGCGTTCGATTGAAAATTAGGACTCTTTGGCTAAGTAAGAGCGACAGGACAAGTCCAAAGAATCAGAGAACCAGACTTTATTTTAGGAAGACAGAAGAGCACTTGTGTTCCTCTAGGTACAACTAAAATAAATTTCTGCCTTACTTTCAAGGACCCATCCTCCTTCTTCAACTAGATTGACAGAATGGAGTATCCACGACGGGTGAAATCAAATTAGTTTAATAAGTTAAAGACCAGAGGAAACTATAAAGGAATATTGATAAGATGGGAATGAGCTAAGGAGCTGCAGATGAAATTTAATATAAATATGAGATGGTACATTTTGGCTAATACAGCAGTAATCAAACACCAAATGAAACTAGCACAATGCTGTAAAAGCACAATGGGACTTAGGGATATGGTTCACAGAATATTATCAAGTTGCTAATGATGTAAAGAAGCTAATAGATTCTAGGATCCATCTCAGGAGGTTTAGAATACAAAAGCCAAGAGCTAATCACAAGCCTATATAAAACCTTAATAAGACTGCAGTTGCAGTACAAAGTGCAGGAGTGGCCTCCACGCTATAGAAAATCAAGACTTGGAGACAGTAAGGGCTGCAGATGCTGGAAGCTACAGTCAATAAATGTGGAGCTGGAAAAGAACAGCAGATCAGACAGAATCCAAGGACAGGGGACGTTAACGTTTCAGGCGGAAACCCTTCGTCAGGACTGGGGAAGAGGGGGGGTAATTGGGATGGTGATAGGTGGATGCAGGGTAGGGGGTTATTGTGATTAGTCAGTGGGAAGGATGGAATGGATAGGCGAGTAGGAAGATGGACAGGTTGGGGATAGAGAGATTTTGAAGCTGGTGAAGTCAATAGTCAGGCCATTGGGCAAAATTTAAGACTTTGGTGATGTTACAAAGCAATTTACTCAAACTTGCATGAAGAGATACAAAAAAAAACTTAAAATCTTTTGTTAAAAAAAGGTGATAATTACACAGTAATATAATGGAACTCCTTGTAGAATGAGACAGGGTGGATAGTAGCAAACAGTTTCTCGAAGTTCAGAGGTCAAAAGCCAGAGACCATAAATACAAGATTAAGTGTAATCAATTTAGAAGACAGCTGAAGAAACATCTTCACGCAGAGAACTGAGGGACTCAGAATTAGCTTACAGAGTTGAAAAAGAACTGAGAACACAAGGTTAGATTAACTTGGTGAGTGCAAGACATCGAAAATGGACAGCTCAGACAAACATAATTAGGACTACTATTTTGTGCTCATACTACTCCTGCTATAGGGGGTAGCTTAAAACTCTCTTCTATAAACAGCAATGAAACTGGAAAAAGTCTGAGGAAATTCCCAGCTACACAGTTCAACTCCAGTGCAATGGAAAACTGCATTGAAAAAATATTTGAATCTTCTTGACACCTTTTAAATCCATCTGCTGTTCATTCAAATATTTAGGCAGCCTAAATGGTAATACCAGTGCTTATTGAATATTTACATTTTAATTGCTGGGAGAGGTGCTTGAAAATGAATTTTACATACATGTGCAGAGCTGGCCTGCAGTAGAACCATGGTGTCCTTGCTGCAGATATTAACTTGTGTCCAGTAAGCAGGGTGTCAATCAAAGTATACTGAAGTGTGGAAGCATTATGCAGGGATACGGAGCATGTTTTATATTCCACTCACCACTGACGCAGATTAGGTATGTTCTTACTGAGATTTGCTCAGAAGCCAGTGTGCATTCACTAGAGAGAGACTTAACTGAAATCTAGAAAGGTATAACGAACCAATGGGGCACGCATTGGTCTTAAATGGTAGCACCGTGAAACAATATGTAGTTTGTAACAGTTATATCATTAATATAACATAATCAAATAACTATTCAAATATTTTTCATTAAAATGAGGATGTTTCTGTGATCGGTTTTAGGAATTACTCTACAATAGATTATACCATTAAATCCCAGGACCTAAATTACAGGATAATAACTTATCCCGCGAAGATATTGAACATCAAAATAAATGGAAAGGAGAAACTTCAAACCTTGAAATATTATTTTGGCTAATTACCTTCTGAACAGTTAAATCCTACGTATGGTCTAAAGCATTGGCATTTGTAACTTAGCCACAAATCAATGCATTGGCCTTTGCTCTGACATGGGTTCCTCTGACACCACTCATTCTTGTTGCACCCTAGTTTGACGTTTAGTGTTGAGTCAACAGAAAGATTTTCTATATCAATTCTTTGTGAATCCACCTCCACATCCTGGATGCAACCAATAAAATAAGGCTGAGGCTGAATAATACTGGTGACTTCCGAAAAATGTCCACGCTCAATTTCTGTGCCCCCAAAGACAGTGTTCTCAAATGCAGAAGCAAGTTGCCCAGTCTCCAGTCCAACAAACCTTTTGATCATACATTCTTCTGAACATGAATTGTCCAAGAGCTTAACAGAAAAGTCACTGCCTAATGTCACTTCCACAGTATGCCAGTCACCATCAGTAATATTCTTAAAAATCTCAAGATCTGCAACCAGCTGGTTTCTCATTTTCAAAGATGCAAATAAATGTCCATTGAGTACTTCCAATTTCATAAATGTATCCTTGTTTCCTCTACGAAATATAATTGCACTAGACAGTACAGTTCTACATCTTAGGAATACACTGTAGAGGAGTTTATCCATTGATTCTTCAGGTTTGCTGGCATTTGCTGTTTTAATACTGAGAAATCCACTGACTTCAAAAGAGAAGGTTGTTGATAAATGACAGTTCAAACCAGTGTAACCATTAGGACAGAGGCAGTTGTGCCTATGTTGTGCATCCTTTAGGTAAGGGATACATGTCGCTCCGTTCAGACATTCATGGTTTTCACAGCCTGTCAGAATGTCTGTACAGTTCTTGCCACCATAAAACAATTCCTGTTCGTTTCTTGCTGGGCAGTGACAGATGTAACTCTCCATGGTATTCTGACATGTTCCACCATTTTGACATGGATTTGAGTCACACTCATCAACATCCATCTCACAGTGTGAACCTTCAAAAGAAAGCATATACCATTATCTTCTATTGTCTGTAAACATAGGGATACAAAGCATACTTCCTTCAAGTATCACATTTACCTCCTGTTCACATGTTAGTTATTGCAAATAAACTTTTCATAACATCTATATGGTTCTGACTTATTTCAGGTGTTCGGAAAACAATCCAACAGAAATGCTAGTTCCCTTAAGCTATTAAAAAAAAACCCTAGTCTTAAACCGAATTTAGGCCATAAATGTTATTTGAACGATTGCCTGGCTCATGCATTGTTGTTGTGGGTTGTCGGGATATTGTAGTTCCATTGGACACAGCTGATGATTACAATTCCCACACGCAGTAATTATCAATTTTCGCTCTAATTGTCCAGCCGAACAACAGAACAACTAGCAACACAGCTAAACTGAACACCCCTCTCCCCAAGGATCAACAGGGAAAATCAAGCATAAGAGGGAATTTCTGCAATGCATTTTGATGGTGACACCTACAGATATTTTCAGAATGAACTGTACAGAGACAGGCCATTTGGCCCATATCAGTAATAAACCAGACAATGGTGGAAATACTCAGGAGGTCTGGCAACATCTGTGGAAAGAGAAATAGACATAACATTTCAGCTTGATTTTTGGTTAATTCACTAACCCTGTTTCCCTCTTCATAGTTGCTGCCTGACCATTTCTACATTCTCTTTTTATTTTAGTTTTTCAGCATCACTATATTTTGCCCTTGTTTTTGGCTATACCAATGTTTATGCTTTGCAAAGGTTTCATCCCATCATTTTCCTTTAAATTCAACTAAATTGCCTTTGATCCCCTTCCCCTTCATCTATTTATATAGTTTCTTCTTGAATGCATTTGTATTATTAGCCTCAGCTATTCCAAATGCAGAAAGTTCCACACTTATCCATTCTCTGGCTGAAGAGCTTTCTCCTGCTTCCCTTATCAGATTTATTAGTGACCACCTTTTATTTCTGTCCATAGATGTTTGCACATTCTCCCTGTGTCTGCATGGGTTTCCTCCGGGTGCTCCGGTTTCCTCCCACAGTCCAAAGATGTGCAGGCTAGGTGGATTGGCCATGCTAAATTGCCCTTGGTGTCCAGGGGTGTGTAGGTTAGGTGGGTTATAGGAGGATGGGTCTGCATGGGATGCTCTGAGGGTCAGTGTGGACTTGTTGGGCCGAAGAGCCTGTTTCCACACTGTAGGGATTCTATGAATTCTGGTCTTGAACTGAATTCAGTAGAACTGAATGAATGAATAAAGTGTATTTTTGCAATAAAACAAAATATAGTAGAACTGCACTTAACAGTTGCATACAGAAGTCATTCAGAAAACATTATAAAAGGTACTGATAGAGTGTAGTTTAAAAAGCTTTACACAATTTTCTCTTTTGATGATACTTGCTAGTTTGCAAATGCTATTTTTCTGAAAACAAATAGATTTCAGTTGAGAGAAGGGCTGGGTAAACAAGTAAATGCTGATTCACAGCTTGATTGATTCACCGCTAGTCAATAAGCTATCAAATTCAAACATCCGGCCTAACAGAATCATTTGGGGTTATTTGAACCTGTTTTGAGTTTTGGCCTAACAACATGATGCAGGCTAAATGCAAGATGGTTCATTTTGTGCATTGACAACTACAGAACAATTGAGCGCAATTTTATCTGTATGCAATTTGATGGGTTTTGAAAGAGATAAAATCCTACCAGTGTTGTTTTTAATCATTGAATTCAACAACAGAGATTATAATTCTCTCCTCAAAATGATTATCCTGCAAGTCTGTGGAAAACCACTTGGGCGCATGACATATGGTGGTTTATTACTTTGTTTTTGTCATTTCATTTGCAAAACTGCTATTCTAGGGAAATCGAAATATGTTTAACCAGCGTGGTTGCATTGTTGACATTTTTCAGGGAAGTAGGAAGTGACATGTTTGATGCATTCCATACTAAAGGGAAAGCTGCTCAATGGATTATGAAGATTAGTCTATTATTAGTTACAGTATGTAAAAGACAAATACCTTGGTGATTTTTGATTATGAACGTAACATAGTTATTTCAAAATTAATTGAAGCTTTCAAACAAAACATTTCCTCTTCAATAAAGCAGCAAAGTAATTCACATCCCAAATTTCTATAACCGGTATATATGTTTGAACTCAAACTATACCAATCATCTAGGATTGTGATCCATCTAGATTCAAGCAATATCAACTAGAGTTGAACGATGGTTTTCCTAAAAGTATCAATTATGGCTTATCGCTTTTGCACAATGCATTAAAATGTAGTAGCTTAAGAAGTAACATAGCATGTATAATGCAACAACACGTAACACATAACACTTAATAAACAGGTGACCTTTTATCAGCTATTCCTCGCCCCCTTCCAAGTTTTAAATTATCAGCACCAGTCCCACTCCTATGGTTTTAACCGGACAGTACATTATTAGCAAAATTTACCTGTGATGACAATCATAAAAATGAAGCAAGTCTTAAGCACTGATGAGACCATTGCTCCCAGTGTAATTAAAATTCAAGGATCTGCATTTGAACTCTTTGACAACAAGATGCAAAAAATCTCCAGTCCAATGTCGATTCAACACCCGTTGATTGTAGTTCATTTCTCATTGTTAACTTGTGTGCTAACTGCACATACTGTTCCTTTGTCTGCCATGCCTGCTGACTCAGCTCAGTATGAAATGTTCGGAAAGCCAGATCAGCAAGGCTTAGTTTAAGAATCAGTAAATTCCTTGCTCACTCAATAGTTTATGCAGTCAGTCTCCGTGACCCAATTAGGTTGCTCCCATCAACTACAACAAAACTAGGAGCATTTTAATAAAAAAGGAATGAATTCATTTTAACCTGCCAAATTATACCTTAGTATTGTCTGTCATGTATTTGCCATCAAAATGAATTGCAAGGAATGGGCCAAATAAAATCTGACCTGCTTTGTCCATTTTCGCTTAAGGCCAGAAGCAATGATTACAGCAATCAGATCAGAAAATGTAACAAGGGTTTTACAAAGCATTTAGATCCTATGAACAGACTATTCTGCTCAACAGGGCAAATATGCTCCATTCAAGTCTCCTTCCAATTATCTTCATTTGAAGCCAACAACATGTCCTTCTTTTCCTCTCATATAAGATAACAAGGTGTAGAGCTGAATGAACACAGCAGGCCAAGCAGCATCAGAGGAGCAGGAAGGCTGACGTTTCGGGCCTAGACCCTTGTTCGGAAATGTTCAGATTCTCCAGCATCTGCAGTTCCTACTGTCTCTGAAACCTTTTCCTCTCATATGTTGTTTAATTTATTTCTCCTTGAATGCATGTTTGCTAGTTGTCACAAAATTTCCTTCAGGAAGATTGTTCCATATACTAACTATTCTGGGTAATAAATTTTTTCTAGAATTTTCAATTGAAAATATTAGTGGCTATTGAATATTTTTGTCAAAAGTTCACTGTCGGTGAAAATATCTCATCTCTAGGTCTATGATATCAATGACCTCTGTTAGGTCAGCCCTCAGTCTTTTATGGAGTTAGGAGCTTCAACTTGTTCAATCTTTGCTGTTCAATAGTCTGACCATCATCTTAGCTATTTTTGAACCCTTTTCCAATCCTTTAACTTGGGACGTGATACCCTACCTTCCCGCAACTACCTTCTGCCTGAGAGCGGAAAAGAATCATCTTCATCTGCGAGGGATCGCCAACGAATGAATGATTGATTTTAGAAAATATATAAATTATGAAAAGCTGTCCTGCATAAACACGCTGCATGTGTGTTTGTAACTTTACAATTAATTCGCATTTAATTTTTACTTCTACAAATTGAAAGGTGGATAAAATATTACAGCCCAAATATAGTGAACCATGATTTGCATATTTGAATGTTTAACATCTTCTGGCTGTATACGGCCTAATTTGTTCGCACACACCAAATTACTTTGTATTCTATTTTAATCCAGTCATTACTCTGCTTGAAATAAATTATTACATGATTGTGTTAAAGTACCAAACAAGTATTAACCTCCAAGTGAGTTTCTGACTATATTTTGTACTGGAAAGGGTTATTGTGAACAAGGAAGTAAGATAGCCTATATTATCATTATGATCTAATATAAGATCACATAAATACTAGGTGATGGATTTCTCAGGCAGCCTCAGGATACAGGTGACCTGTACAAAGTTGGAATTTACCATGTATAAATAAAAGAGAATATTTGCTAACTTCTAAAGACTCCTGCTTTCTTTCCCAAACCCTCAGCTCAACCCAATATAAGTTAGGATTATATTCAAATGGAGTTCAGAAGAATGAGGAAGGATCTGATTGAATAGGAATAGACAGTGTAGATGCAGGAAAGATGTTCCCAATGGCGGTGGAATCCAGAACCAGGGATCACAGTCTAAGGATACAGGGTAAACCATTAAGAACTGAGATGAGGAGAAATTTCTTCACCTACAGAATGGTGAGCCTGTGGAATTCAATGCCACAGAAAGATGTCAAGGCCAAACCATTGTATGATTTCAAGAAGGAGTTGGATATGGCACTTGAGGCTAAAGGATCAAAGGAAATGGAGGAAAAGCAGAAAAGCAGAAAAAGGCTATTAAATTGGACGATCAGCCTTGAAAATGATGAACAGTGGAGCAGTCTCCTAAGGCCAAATGGCCTACTCATGCTCCTATTTACAATGTTTTTATGTTTCATATGAAGTAGAATAGCAGACCATCTGCACCCTCACTACGACTTCATATTTCCACCATCATATCACCCAACTCTCCATCACCCTTCAACTCAATTTATCTGCTTAATCCCTCATCCATCCATCACTGATTCTAGAGTTGTCTAATCCAAACACTCCTGACAGCCCTTTTACTTTACATACTGTGTAAACCTCAGGTAATCTAAAGCTCTGCTGTCTGTGTCATTACTCAAACTAAGCCCTATTGACCCATCTCTCCGACCTGCATTGATTCCTGGTTAAGCAGCATTTTGAAAACTGTCGCCTTT